AGACAAATTTAAGGTTTCAAGAAGGCAAAGACCTAAAAGAACGTTAATGTTTACCAATTATGAGTTTGTGTAAATTTTCAATCTGATGATGGCGCTGTTGTCTCACCGAAACGTAGTGAAATAAACAATGTTTCAAAATTTTTACTTTACACTTTGACTGAGACCCAGGAAAGATAAGAATTTTTTACGCCATCATTTATATGTTTCCCACTTGACTGAATAATTTTTGGAAAATCGTGAAACATTGGGGTGAAGAAACAGCTTTTCCAATGCACCCAAACAGGAATAAACTCCCACAGTCAAACCAATCGGAATGGCCAGAAATAGGACACTTGGTGACCACAGTGCCAAATTTGCATAAAATCTCTACAAAAGATGATTGATCACCAGCTCATTTTCATAACTTCAGGTGCCATCCAAACGCCTCATCTGCTGCTGCTATCTGGAATCGGGCCTAAAGAAGAACTGGAAGCGYCTGGAGTCGAGCCAGTCCACAACCTGCAAGGTGTTGGAAAAGGTACCTGAACCTCCACTCACTCACGTGGTTCTCACTCAAGCTTTTGCAGGCTTATCCAACCACATCTCGTTCGGCTTCTACGTTTCCCTCAATGTGCCCAACTTTGTGGACCTCAACGCTGAGACCCTGGAGGAGTACTTAACGAACCAAACTGGGCATTTGAGTGGCAATGGAGTCAGCCAGGTGGGAAACAATGATATTTACCCGGATCAAAATCCAGTTGATTCTGTTGCAGATATCCGCCCGACTGGCGAGTGCATATGCAGAACCAGACGATCCAGACTTGTCTTTATACCTGGACAGTTGGAAAAACACCTGCGCCTATTCCGCGGAATCCGGATTGCCTGAGGATCCAGATGATCCAGCAGATAATCGGAAACTGTGGATTTCAGTCACTTTGCTGCACCCACAGAGCACTGGGTAGGCTTGAATCGATCTGACTGAGGGTTGAGGTGATAATGTTTTTCGGCAGCTATGTGGGTTTGGCCTCCAACAATCCTGCCGATCCGCCTAGAATAGTGGGCAACTACCTGAGTGAGCCGGAGGATGTTAAAATCATCACCTCCGGCATCCGGTTGGTGCAGAAGTTCATCGAGGCGCCCGTTTTGAAGGAGAAATACAACGCCTCCCAGGTTTGGATGGACTATGGAAGCTGTTCCCAACAGTTCGAGTAGGAGGCTTTTTGCGAAACTTCGCCGATTGCTTTGGGCTAAAAATTGCGACATTTCCAGAGTGGATTCGGATGAGTTTTGGGAGTGCGCCATTCGCTACCAAACGCACATTGTGGGACATCAGTGCGCCACTTGCACCATGGGTCCTGATCCAGAATTAGGCGCTTGCGTTAACCAGAACCTCCAGGTCCATGGGGTTGCCAACCTGCGGATAGCTGATGCCTCAGCGATGGTGCCACGCATTTCTGGAAACACTCAGGCTATAGTGGTTGCTATCGCTGAACGCGCCAATCA